ATAAAAAAGCAATTAAAATGTTTGCATATCTGCATATCAACTGTCCTTCCTGATAATTCTGATAGATTATGATTGTCTAAATCTGGATTAAGGAACACTATTCACTGGTAACTAGTTGCTTATTAGCACATATTAATATCTTATTCTGCATGCCCATATTCTACATCCAAATTCTAGATGTATTTCTTCTATTAATGTCATTTTGCTCATGCAAACTTACACTTGATTGCTTAATGACATCAATAAAAACGTGCAGAATGTTATCCATGTTTATTTCCATACATTCTCCTGCAAATTGAACTGTACCATAGATTTATAATTGATGAACTAGTTAATAAAATGAAACCCAGAGCTTCATCACTTCCCATCATTTTTGACCAATGAATTTTCATGACTGACTTCAGCGTTCAGCGTTGCTGCATAAGTATTGTAAAAAAAAAAATATATATTTCTATAACTTTTTTCAGACCTCATATTTCCAGTTTGTTCATGACCATGGGAAACCTGTAGTCACTTCAAAGAAATGTACACTTCAATAAAAGGCATTCGTTTTTATTGGTTTTAACAAAAATTTTTTATGGCTGTATTGTCTGTTAAAAGGCGTGATAATGTTCTTGCCCTCTTATTAACGAATTATCTGTAATACTTTGATTGCCATGTTTTTGATGCTCTCTTGGCGTTCCCGGGGAAGTTCTAAGATTTTAATTTCCTCAACACCCACCTAGCAAAGGTCATGATTTGACAAATTACTTATTATTTTCTGTCAGCATATCTAATTATATGTTAAGAGGGGGTCATGTGTTCTAGTTGCTCCAGTTACATAATACAAGTATCAGATCAAGGATGTATCATTAACCCTCAAAGACCCACTGAAGCAAAACGGCAACACTTGTTTAAGGCAATTCAGTAATATTCTGTACTGTAATTTACTGTATTGCATTCGCAGAAAAAACTTTGGTGTGAAAAAAGACGTTGTTGCAGAACCAAGTCAGCCCCTGTATAATATTAAGGCATCATTACCATGTTGCTAACGTAAAGTATCAATCCTTATTGTGCATATAATATATATGTCGTTCAGATCTAAAAAATACTCATAAATAGTACAAAACATGGAACTGGAAAATATGTGAAGCTTTTCAAACCACTCATTTATGAAGTCCCTTCTCTGTTCGGATGCTGCCTATGAAGGCAGCAGGCAGCGAAGCATCTCAATAGGTATTGATCAGACCCCACTGAATGTCACAGCTTACTGAAGTCACACAATGTAGTCATCGTTTACTGACACTATGCTAATACTTTGGAAACAAAGTAGGCAATCTGACCTGTAAATTAAGTATTTGACTTGTAATATTTGTACATTCTGTGAATTCCAAACAATGTTTTGTGATAAATAAACGTTGCACGCCCCAAAAATAAATGTACTCCAGAAATTTAAGTTAATAATTTGTGCTTGTACGCTTAATTATGCCCAATGACATTATGCAGATGTTGCAAAATATAACATATGCTTAAATATCTTTTTTTTTTTAACTATCAGATTGTCAACATAATGTCAACATTTCTGGGAGATGGAATATTCTAGATCTTGTACACACCTGACTCGGCGAAACTGATTATTTCCGACGTTTCTTCTTGCACCTCGTTGTGGGCAGCATGTCCATCCAAGTTGGGAATTTCAACCCTCCCGTCCTCCCGAACTTTACCCGCGTGAAGCTTGCGCAGCGCCGTTACCATGGCAGCTTTGGGAATGGGATGAGTGATATTTGGTCTCTCTCTCATCTGCAGTCGGTTCAATATATGCCTTTTAACCGCCTCCAGAAAGTCTGTGTCCATTCGCCCCGAATCATCCGGATGCCCGAGTCCACAAGAGGCACACTGAGACTCCTGAGACACAGTCTCAGCTCCCAGACTACACTGAACTGAGAGTATGCAAGCCATTAAACAGGTTACAGAGAGGATGGAAATACTCATTTTCTTAAATAACGTGTCCATTCAACAAACAAATCAGTTCATGAATTCCTACCGTAAAACAATTTGACCTATAAACAGGACAGAGTTGTACTTCCAACAACCTCCTTTGACAGATGTCCATTCATCATCATGCTCGCGGTCACTTTTGTGAGACGTTCACAGAAAGTGTGTTTTTATCGCCCGGTAAACACACGGAGTAATAATGAGGGCTAGTCGCGAAAACTTCAGTCTTAACTGAAGCTAGTTAAAAGCGCGAAAACGTCTCCGCATCTCCAAGGGAACTGACAAATTGACGTGCGTTAAGAATCAAAACAAACCGGTTACTAATCTTGTATTCCTTTAAAGGTCAGTGTAGTCAAAAAATCTTTCTTGTTTGAAGACAAAATGTCACTCTTTGTCTTTCCACCGAATGTCAATAGCTCGTGCTCCTCTTCTCTCAGTAATAGTGTTGTGAATTGTGTATGTTCGTGCGTATTTCTTCAGCCTCGGGAGAGATGTTGTCCTTTGGTCTTTTCTCTCGTGTAATCACGACACTAAAGCACCTCGCGCTGAAACTTTTTTATACTTCAAACCACGTGGGACGCTCGACCAACTGCGAGCGAGAGATTATGCGCTAAAACAGGTTACGCTCACAGAGCCGCATCAATCCAAAAAGAGCGAGCGAGCATGACCGCTGGATCTGTGTGTGACACGTAAGAGCCATTTTACATCAACTTTTCATTGTGAAAACACAAGACTGCAGGGCTTTCAGAACGCAACAGAAATCGGTTTCTTTCAAGAAGCATAATAAAACATTGAAGCATAATATAAATTGCCAGTACTTGTTTTCACGTCAGTTTACACATCGAGCTATTATTATTATTATTTAACTAACAAAGCAAAACCTTTATGGTTTAATAGTCACTAATTTCAGACCAGTTTCTGTAATGATTAATGAAATAATGCAGGCGCTTTTGCAACGATTAAGACTTGTAAGAAATTCCCTCAAGTGTCGCTTTGTTTGCCAGTATATTTAAGTAGGTTATTAATCGACTTTTTGTACTGCTGATAGGAGGATTGCATTGCCAACTTTTTCTGAAGTGATATGACGCCCTCTATCGCTTCAACAAAATAAATACACGTTACATTTTCTGGGCATCTTCTATGAACACACCTATCTTGAGGGGCACATTTGAATTTAGGGATTCTTTCTTTCTCATGGAAAATCTTTAATAATACATTTGTCTTATAAAATCTGGAGTATTCATAGATATCATCATGAATATTGAGTCCATTTAATTATAATATTCAACTTAATATTTTAATGGGTTTGGTTTCTGTATTCATAAATTAATTAAATTTAATATAATTTTTTTGCAATTGTAGTTCTTGTGTATTTATGCCACCTCTCTGCAGAATTAAACAGACTGGGTAAGAGAACACCTTTTTTTTTAAAGAATATGTGCCACTTTTCTGAAGATACAACCTCCATACCAGTTTTGCGGTCTAAAGTTAAAAAACCATGCCTTCATACAGATTATCAATATATATAAACACGTTTTAGCCATATATGTGTGGTGTGTTCTAATATAACAATTAATTCTCTACAGAAATCAGTTCAATACAATTTAAAAGGACACTTTGTATTATGACCCGTCATGTGTTCAGTTCTTCTGTAACTTCTGTGACTTGAATGTCTTGCCATGGGAAAATCTATTGGATTTATGTCACATTGTTCATAATGGAACATTTTGTTATCCATTAATATTGAGGATAAAAGATACTGATGATGGTATGTATCTGTTTAGCCTACAGATGTGAACTATATTTTTGTTTCTTTTGTTTCAATGTACAAATAAATAAATAAAGTTTAGAATAATGAATGAATGAATGAATCTGTGCATTTGTTGAACTTATGTGTAGCGTGACTTGCGAAGTCTGTCGCCCTCCAGTGGCAATAAACACTACATGCATGTAGAAATGTACGTACAGGTCAGTGTTTAATCTTATGAATGAAAATTTATCTGTGCATTTGTTGAACTTATGTGTAGCGTGACTTGCGAAGTCTGTCGCCCTCCAGTGGCAATAAACACTACATGCATGTAGAAATGTACGTACAGGTCAGTGTTTAACAATTAGTGATTACAAGCACAGTTAATTCCTTTTTTAATTTAGTTTTATGTTGTATTATTGTAACATTTTCTAGCTATTATAGTTATATTTAGTACAACGTTTATTTATTTATTCATTTTATTTATTGAAAACATGACCCTCTAACACTTGCACTCTCTATCCTATTTCTATTCTACTTGTTTTCTTTTTATTTATTATAAAAATGACCCTCTAGCGTTCTGTATTCTTTTTCTATTCTGTCTACTTGTTTTCTTTTTATTTAGGCATATTATTAAAAATGACCATCTAACACTAGCGTCCTCTATTCTTTTGACTTTTCTATTTATTTTTATTTTATTTATTATATATTAAAAAAGAACTTGCTACGTTTACTGTGTTAGACTAACCGAGACTTATTACAGCATTTACATATTATTAGGTTGGCTTGTTGGTTTTGATTGCTTCTATTGTCCTCATTTGTAAGCCGCTTTGGATAAAAGTGTCTGCTAAATAACTAAATGTAAATTTAATACAAATATGCTACAAATGTAGTTTTCTAGCAATATTTGTTTTTGTTAATGACTTTTTTTAGCAATCCAAAAATAAATACAGACTAGTGTTGGTTTTATCATTGGCCCTGCAACACATTTTTGATTGCTGCAAAGGGATTACTCATGTAATGCATTACTTATTAAATCGTTTGAGTGCAGTTATCCTGAAACGATGCGAAGGCAGGAAAATGAATGTGTTCTGACAGCAATATACATGGATCTAACAAAACACACACAAAGCAAATTACAAAATGTGACAATGTTTGGATTGATTCCTAGCATGTAATAAAATTCACTTGAGCAGTTTTAACCATTATTTCACATTTAGTGGAGATTCTTTAATATAAAATTTTGATACATAGTAAAATAATATGACATTCTGAGGAAGATAAAAGCCCTAGTTGGTGCTTTTCAGAGTAATCGTGGTTTCTCAGAGTCAATGTAATAATTACAGACACTGTGAAAATATAGGTATTGGTAGTTAATAAAAGGTATAGGTACAGGATATAGGTATTGTTGCTAAGGCACATTCATTTCTCACAGAGAAAGTTGAATGCACTAAAAACAACAGATTTATGCCATTGTCATATGCCACACTGAAATCGCATGGTGTCCTTGTAGAGGTTTACCACCCAGGACTAACAGCAAGTCAGGCATATGGAGAAACATGGCGTCCTCGGTTTCCTCTGCCAGGTCACCACTATTCAGCTTCTCGCTAATAGCCTCCTGGGTGAGACAGGTTCCTTTCAGCTTAGTGTCTTTCACTGCAATACTTAAATCTGGTAAATACTTATTTTTGTCCATGTGGAAAGTCTGGAGCTCAATACAGGGCTCTTGCAAAGTGGGGCGGGATGGTTGGCACTTGTTCTTAAATGGTCTTAGCTTGTTATAGATGTTGTGAGAGTTGGGTATTTTTCTTAAATAAATGCCGTTTGGTGATGTTGGCTGGAAACTCTGGCCTATGCCAATGCTGCAGTGATGGATCCGGCACAGAGCGGGGGATCCAGGCAACATTGCTAGCTTCTTCCAGGTTTTTGTTGTCAGGTTGAACCTCCACAAGCTGCTCTGAGGAGAGCTCTGGGTTTCCCCACCACCAAAGATGAGCATGCTGTCCTTAAAAAATACAGCAGAGTGACCAACCAGCCTGGAAGGACCTGAACTGCAGAGTAAGAGATCATAGAAGTGTTAGTGTTTAAGTTCATGCCTGAAGGGGGAAAAGCAATTGATCAAAATTAAAGGAATAATTCACTCAAAAACTAAAATTTGCTGAAAATGTAACCACCCTCAGGCCATCTATAATGTAGATGAGTTTGTTTGTTAATCAGAACAGATTTGGAGAAATTTAGCATTACATTACTTGCTCACCAATGAATGGGTGCTGTCAGAATGAGCATTCAGCTGATAAAAACATCACAATAATTCACAAATATTGTATGCAATACACAAACTGTATTTGTAAGAAACAAATCCATCATTAAGATGCTTTTAACTTCAAACCGCTGCTTCTGACAAAATTATCAAAATCAAAAATGTTGCTTTCTCCAATGAAAAGTCATCTTATCTGAATCAGGAGAGAAATATGCACAAATCAAGCACCATTTAGTCTAAACAGTTCTAAACAAACATACTGATGGATTTTGATGTGAGAGGACAACGGGGTGGACTGGAGGAAGTGCCATTAAGGATTATGAACTGGTATTTTGGCCAGAAGCGCATTGAATGATTTGTTTCTTAAATACATGTAGCTTTTTGCTTCACAAAACCTTAAAGGATGGACTGGAGTGATGTGAATTACTTGTGCACTCATTCTGACGACACCCATTTACTGCAGAGGATCCACTGGTGAGCAAGTGATGTAATGCTACATTTCTCAAAATCTTTTCCAATGAAGAAACAAATTCTGTTAAACTAGAAGACACTGCATAATGCTGTAAAGCGACCAACCACAGTTTGTTTTTTTATGTGTCATTTAGGGAGTTAATCAGAAATATATGATACTACAATAATAGACTGGCACAGGAAACAGCTGTGTGAATATTCTGTTCTGCTTGGGAACATGTAGTTGGCTTCCTACTAATTACGTCAAACAAAACTGAATATCTTTCAAAGGTTTGTAGTTATAAACATTGCAAAGTTGGGCCAAATCTATTGATTACTTATATGGCAATCAGGGTTTATGGGATGGATAGATAGATGTTAACCCTTTAGGCACCAGGGATTTTTGGAAAAATGCTGGATTTTGACATCAAGATTTCAAAAACGTGTGGCTTGAAAGGGCTTAAAGATAGAGATCTACTGTAAATTTGAAAAATGTTGGGCATGACCGAAAGTTTATGTAGGGTGTAAATATACTCATCTAATTTACATATTATGATGTCATCAGGGGTGGCCATCTTGAATTTCATAATATTCAGGAAATAGTAGATATTGAATTGATGTTTGAACTTATTTGCATGTTTTTTAAAAATCTTTTTATCCTCATATTTTGACATCAAGATTTCAAAAACGTGTGGCTTGAAAGGGCTTAAAGATAGAGATCTACTGTAAATTTGAAAAATGTTGGGCATGACCGAAAGTTTATGTAGGGTGTAAATATACTCATCTAATTTACATATTATGATGTCATCAGGGGTGGCCATCTTGAATTTCATAATATTCAGGAAATAGTAGATATTGAATTGATGTTTGAACTTATTTGCATGTTTTTTTTTTTTGTCTTTTTATCCTCATTCCAAATGATCAGGAAAAGAGGAAATCAACAGTAAAACAGGAGAAAGTAGTAAATTATTACTATATTACTGTGCCATAGTAAAATGCATGTGCCTATTTTTTGATCAGTTGACCAGCTGTCTGCCCAATAAGTTATCTAGGTGACACAGTTTATAGTTCTTGAGAGTATAGTACCTCTCATTGCATGGCACAGCGCACAGACCTACCCCACACTGAGGAATCTAACATAGAAAATATCATTATTTGGTAAGGTCATTTAGCAATATGTACAGTAAGTCATACAGAAATCATACCTGGGGTCACACAGTCACACTTTTCAAATAAATATTTAGTCTTAGATGATGTTTTATAAAAACTAGGGCTGCACGATAAATCGCATGCGATTAACTACACAGAGCCGTTGTTCACTGACGAGCTGCGCAAAACCACGTTCATATTCGCATGATTTTTTGCGCAGCTCGTCAGTGAACAACGGCTCTGTGTAGTTAATGCTGCTCAACGTGAAAGCACGCACGTGATGGAGATTTACCGCTGATTACAGAACCGGCTTTTCTGACAAGATGCGCGTTAAATATCGCATGCGATTTATCGTGCAGCCCTAATAAAAACCATAAATCCACTGCTATGTGATAACACTCACCAAAATCAAATTTCCAGAATTCCTTTGTTGATCCTCTTATATCAATGTATCCACCGTAGACATACATAGATGACCCAAAAATGACAGCACTGTGCCCTTTTCTGTTTGCTGGTGTCTCTCCCTACAAAAACAGTTCACTATAATAAAAGGATCACGTTTCAGCTGTAGTTCTTATAAAAGAAAAAAAAAGATGTTTACCTGTAAAGTTTCACTCCTTGTTTTCCAGTTAATCCAGCACTCTTTTACTGCAAAGAATATAAAACTGAAGACGTGAACGAAAAAGTGGCATATTACAGTGTGGTAAAACGCTATTTGCGTTCATGCAGCACAAGTGCTAGTGTCATTAAAGCAAGACAAAACAAATAATACAAAAAAAATGTCCATTCGAGTTTTTAACTTAAATTCCAATAAAAATTAAAGTACTTTTTTGCATGAAAAAAAAACCACACATTTTTTTCTAGTGGGCTCAGACGTTTTGGAGCCCCACTGAACATGCATTGAATGAAAAAAAAAATACCTGTATCAAACACCCAAAGAGGCATTTTTGAGTTAGTATATGATGAATCTTGCATTCCTCCAAAGACATACAGAAATCCCTAGAAAGGAAAATGGTAAATTAATTTACTCTTTTTGGTGCAAATATTTTTTACTAAAGTAATATGTGGAAATAATCAAGTATATACTGTATGACATGACCCTTTTAAGGAGTATAACATTTTTGTATACTGAAGTATATACAGTATATTTGCCATATGTGGAGGACTTGGAATGTAGTGCATGATTTGCATGGACTGCAAACCATGGAATGAATGAATTGTGAATTTATTGCAGTTACCTGATATGCTACCATTGTGTGCTCCTCCAGTTCTTCAGGTGCTTCTTCACTATCACAGGGAAGCTTGGCCCACTTGTCACAGACTGAAAATATATACATTTTCCATAAATTATAATCAGTGCAGCAGGAATCATACACTATGCAATAACGAGCACAAGTGTACAAAGAAGCAGGCAGCCGCAGATAAATAACAATGACTTACCCACATTATATTTCCAAAAATCTCTCAGTAAGCATGTTTCTCTGCCACCTAGTATGTAAACATGGCCTCTGTGGGCACAAGACGCATGCTTGTAACGATCACATGGTGCGGGGCAGTGCTGAGGCACTGAGGTCCACAAACAAGCACCGCTCCCCTGATTCATGCTCAGGCTCTGAGAGTCTCATGGGCTAATCTCTGTGAAGAAAAGCAAGCATGAAATACATAGGGACAGCTAATGAAGTCATGTTAACAATACTTCCTAGAATAGTACAGAAACAGCAGATAAGTATATTGCAATGAAAGGAGTTTTTATTATGGAGTTACGTAATACATTAGGTAAAAGCTGAGCAAATATTTGACTAGAAAACAAGTATTTCTAGTAAACAACACTGCAGAAACAACAATTGAACCAGATTTTGATATAATTAAAAATGCTTTTATACAGTTCAATACACAAGTTATTATGGAAAAAAATTACATTTAGACACAATATTGCTATTTTGTCTATTTCCCCAATAAAAAGAGCGACAAAACTGATTGAATGACTCGACTAAATGAATGATTTGACTCGCAACTCACTCAGTTACTTGTTTATACTGTATACACACACACAGTACACAGCATACATGAATGCACCCCCCTGAAACTTAACAAATTCAGCAATTCTTTAGAGACATAATTTTACAGCAAGTCTACTTGATCGATTACCAAAGCAGCATGTCAAAATTATTCAGAAAAATAAGAATTTCTTATTAAAGTGACTAAATGCTGTGTTGCAAAAAAGGAGTACATTCTCTTGAACCAACACTTTTAAAGAGAAGTTTTTGACAATTGAAAGTGTTATATTAGTCCACTGAATCATTCCCAGACCTAATGCTGACAACAATAGAACCAATTGGGACAGAACTGTCAGGAGACTTCCTGTTTAGCACAAAAGAGGACAATAGTACAAGAGGAATGCCAAATCATTGTTTGAATGTGAAAAGTGTGAAAATATGGCAGAAGTGACAGAAATTCAAAAACAATGGACTTGCGACAAGGCCCTTGAAATAATAAGGCCTTCACTTTAAGCTTTAATTTAGTGATGAGTGATTTGTTTTTCTAGAGAAAGAGCAGGAGAAATACCAAACGAGTGTTTCAGAGCTGGCAAAAGCTATAAAAAGAGTGACTGTTTATCTCACAGAGTAAGATGCAGCCTGCAGAAGTGACATGTATGGTTGTTGTCCACACTGGAAATTCACACACCACCGTGTGATGTAATACAAAAACTTGAAACAGAAAGGTGCTACCCTCTCCTCATTCCCCGCATTTTTTGTCATAATAATAATAATTTAATAATAATAATTCAATATGTATTCTCCCATGGTGAAAATGTTTCAGTGAACACGTATTTCACCCAGTCTTAACACTTAGCACCTGTGGGGGATTCTGTAGAGACAAGTAGCAATACTCTCCAATAAAGACTAGGGCATTTAAGAAGGTCATCCTCCAGGAGTTACACCTGACAGATGTGACAGTTTGTCATAAACTTGTACACTCAGTGCCAAGAAGGGTCAGAGCAGTATATCTGAAATTATGGAGGATATTATACATTTGTTGAATTAAATTGTGTACTCATTTCTGCAATCCTTCATTTAAACAAAATTGGCTAATTTACTTATTTTACAGACATTAATGGCATATATTTCTCTGTTTTTATTAAGTGTATGTTTAAAACATTTCAGTTTTACCATCTTTCCATGAATTGTATTAGTAATCATTAAGAAAATGCATCTTTTGCATTTATTCAGAAGGGGTGTAACTTATGCCGAGTTCACACTGCACGATTTTCAAACTCGTCGGATCGCCGTTGTTTTCACACTGCGTGACTATCTGAGGTAGCATTCAGTTGCTGCTGTGTTCACATTGCAAGATGGATCCGCGACAGGGGGTTTCACATTGCATGACTTCACAGTAGGAAGAATCGCCGACAGCTCTGTCTGGTCCGCAAACTACATTTCACAACAAAACACACGCAAGAAGGGATAAGGAAATAACGCGAGATCCCGCGTGCGTCAGACCGGAGTTCTCGAGCAAGACTGTAATTATTAAAAACCGATCCATCCTGCAGTGTGAACACAGCAGCAACTGAATTCTACCCCAGATAGTCACTTAGTGTGAAAACAACGGCGATCCGACGAGTTTGAAAATCGTGCAGTGTGAACTCGGCATTACTCAATTGTGCTGTGCACTGCACGCACACACACACACACACACACACACACAAAGAATAAGAACAGATGTTATGTCCTGTTGTTTACAGACAACAAAAAAGTTTGCGGGATACCTGTACTAGCATGTTACTGTTGAAATCTGAATGTGTTTGGTTATGGTTTGATATCTGTATACATTTCTTTTTCAGCATAATTACACGAAGCATTGTTTTTAACAAATGTGAACTGTTTTGAAAATAAATCCCTTCCAACATGTCACACCTCACATACATACACAACCAAAATGATGACATATGAGGGAATCATGGTATTTAGTAATTTAGTAAACGTTATTTTACATACAGTATACAGTAATGCAAGAATAGAATACGTTACCCTTTGTATGTTTTTTTTGCTTTTAGTTTTAGGCTACGTTGCTCACCACAGTATGATTTTTAACGTAAACGCCCAGAGCTGATCTTATCGTAGCCCGTTATAGCCTACAGTCATTCGCATTTGTAATGGGCATATTAATGTAACGTTAACTGAGAAACATTGTTAAGTTACCTAATCGCTTTACGGCGGTCGCTGAGTAGGCTATTTACTTGCATCATAAGAAGTTTATATGTGACTTTTCATGTTGAAGAAAGTCCCGAAAGTGTCACATGACCGCGAGGAAGAACTGCTTCAAAACTTGAAAGCAACGAGCGGTGTATAGAGGTCCTCAAAGCAGAAGCGCGAGAGTTTGTGTTATTTTTGCTGACTGTAATGTAACCGTTTAGATTGCGTTGTTAGTAAATGTGGTATTAAAACTCCTTACCGCTCAAAATCGTCGTTGAATGTATGCCCTCCCTTGACCTTCATTGAAAAGATAAACGATGATGATGGGTTTAGCTGCCAATGCCAGTACACGAGAAGGAGGGGCGAAGAAGGATCCTCTGTGGCTTTGCTTCGCTCTCAAGGGTCTCTGACTGTAACTGAACACAACACAACGCACTCCCACTTTTAAAACAAAACTCGCCGGCACGGAACACTAAGCACGTTTATATTCAGAGCTGGGTAGATTATTTACAAATTGCAGTCCGTTACTGATTCCAAATTAACGTTACATGATAAAAATTGTAGTTAGTAACAGCAGGGGCTTAAATCGCGGGTGGGTCGGGGGGTCCCACCCCCTCCATCTGAGGGTTGTCCCCTTCTAAAAATGTCATTACAAACCACTGTGTACTGTAAATAATATAATGAAGTAGTAAAACAATATAAACGCAAAAAAGCGTTTTACGTTTAGAAACGTTTTGAGTCCTCCTCCCTTGCCTCAAATGGGTTTGGTCCACTGCTTTCCCCCTTTATACCGACACACACACGAGTCCGGTGGAGACTGGAGAGGGCAAAGTGCTTCAGTTATGTGTAAGTAGGCTGTCGAGGCTATTTTATTCACTTTAAACATCGGATGAAGTGATTCTTTCTCTTTAATACAGATGATGCTGGATCATTAATAAAGTAGTCATGACAAAAAAAAATTATATCCTATTTTTATATCATTATATTTATATTTTATTTATTATTATTTATATTTTAGATTATATGTATTTTCTATGAGCGATTATAAGGTTACCTAGCTTAGCTTGTTTAATACCGTAGCTTGTTGGATAGTAAGTCACCCACTACAAATAACAAAAGAATGGTGTGAACCAGTCTATGGTGTGAACTGACATTAGGCTAATATTGACCTACCGATGTGTTGGGTTTGGCTGTATTATTCATGTCCCCTTCAAAAATTGCTCTTGAGACATTTTATGTTTATTGTCCCCCTACTGTTAGATGAAATTTACGCCCTTGGTTAGTAATGTAATCTATCACATAACACATTTTAGGTAAGTTAATATAATCATACTACTTTTTGATTACTTATAGATTACGTTTAATCTAACTAGTTTATCACATTGATTTAAATAATATAATATTGTATCATATTGATATTAAAATGCAAAGAACATACTTTTTATTTGTTGTTATTAACAACATAGTGAATTAAGCATTACACTAATCCAAGGTTTCCCAAACTGGGGTGTGTGAAGGACCTGCAGGGGGTTTGTGAGTTTAATGAAAAGCTAATAATGAATTAAATCATAAAAATGTAAAATTAAAATAAATCCTTTTAAAATAACATGAATCAAAACATCAATCAAAATAAAACACTTACTAAAAAAATTATATTTTGTTTACCTGCATGTCAAGTAAGGAAAATTTAAAATATGAAAAAGAATTAGGGAGAATCAATTCATTATTTATGAATAATTAATTGCTATGAATATATGTAATCAAGTAATCAATAAAAAGTAGGCTAACTGTAGTCTGATTTTGAGTATTTCAAAATGTAATTTAATCTAATAACAAGTACTTAGTTTTTGGAATCTGATTACGTAATCCAGATGACATGTAATCAGTTACTACCCAGCTCTGTTGATTTTATAGGCCTATTATTTATATATCCTATTTATATTTTGCATATAATTTATTCACTTAGCAGAAGCTTTTATCTGAAGCTGCGTAAAAATGAGAACTTGTAAAATTGCTGAAAACAGTAAAGATGGTATGTTATCAGCACTTACTGTATGTAGGAGGTACTTAATACTGCTTCTTCAAAAAACTATTGAATATACGGCATGACTGAGTTTCTGTTTCCTTGCATAGCAGTTACTCCAGAAATGAGAGAACATGCAGAAAAGTGAATACAAACATGTTGAAACCTGCCATGTGTGAGGAACTAGATGAGTAGGCTACTGAATGTTTCATTTGTCACATGCTATTTCAGTAAGATGATGGTGTATAGCCACACAATTACTCAACAACCAAGAGGCCTTGGCTAAAATGCAGATATTTTCTTGCTTATGCATGATGCCATACAGAGCCACTCCAATGTGGATGATTGAGAGGGTCATCCACCCTCTCACTCTTGCATAATAAAGACACTTATGTCATAATGCTGTTCACTGATTTCTGTTCTTCATTCAACACCATCATACGTAAGACACTCATCAGAAAATGCTTCATACTTGGACTTAATACCACACTCTGTAACTGGATCCTTGACTCCCTGACCAACAGATTCCAAGCACTTAGTCTCCATGAGCAAACCTCATACTCTCACAACACTAGGAACTCTTCAAAACTGTTTTCAGCCTTTAATTAAACAGGTGAGAGGTTGTGACAAACCTTAGGCCGTGCTGCAGAGCCAACAATTTTATAATGTAAAACAAAAGAAATGATTGTTGACTTTAGGAAGTCGTCTGTAACCCACTCCCTCCAGCTTCAGTTTCCTCAGACTTCTCCTGTAACCAGAACACCTCCTTACAAGACAAGCCCAACAAGTAGGCCTACTTCATTTCCGGTGGAGACTCAAAAAAGACTGGCATGCTGTTTATGTGTATATAAAGTGTGTAAATTTGATATCGTTACTTGCCTGTATATGAAATTGTTAATCCGTTTTGGTTTTCATTAATTCATTCATTCTGATTTATTTATTTGATGTTCAACAATAGGGGGCATCAGCCTACTAATTTAGGATACAACACGTTTTCTTACACACTATATAGGGCTTTATAAATGAAAATATCTGTCTTTACATTTTTAGAAGTGGGAGTTTTTATGCCAAAGGGTCCCTCATGCCTGGAAGTCTTTGGCATAAAGTTTTGAAACCCATATTTTTAGATAATGATAATAATAATAATAATAATAAAGTGCCACTTGAGAACTGATCATACAGTTTAACAGTTTTTTGTTGTTTCTGTTACTTTGTAGTCTAAATGTTACCGCTGAGGTAAATCATGCATGAAGATTGCAAACTTGTGTATGTATAATTAGCATTTGCTCTTATGAATACTGTATTTTTCCTTTAAAGTCATAACAAACACATTACATCATTAAATATTTATGGCCGGTATCTACCAGCAGCATACCATATGATCTGTTCATGACATCATATCCGGCGGAGTCTACGGGTTGCGACATCATATCCGGTTCATTTGCATGTCCTGAGGGTGGGGTATATGGCAGCAACGAGAGCTTCAGAGAAACTACAGGGTGTATGAGTCTGAACAGGCGATTAATGCGTTCCACAAGATAGCATAAGAGACTGCGGAGGACAAAGTCTCCGAGAGGTAGTGTGTCTTTATGTATGTCCTTGTTTATTCATTGTTTTGTTTGTTTATGAATTTAAAAAAATGAACCCTTCCAGCTCGAGCTTTTTGTTACTGGTCGACAGGCAGTTATTACAAGTCCCTGTGTGCATATTTTACTCAGAGAAAAATGTCAGGTGAATGAGACTTACAACCGTGATAATTATTTCGCTGTATGGGTTAGTTTGACCCAGCTGACGGCTGATCACGAGAGACGGGCGTTTCTGCGGATGTTGCGCGTGTTTGTTTGATGTGGAGGTTTATTTTCAGAGCCCCAACGTGGATGTGTTGCTTATGGCGTGTATGTGTATGAATCAGAGATATTAGGCACTTTTGCATGTTTCCCTTGAATTGTTTAGCTTTTTCAACAAATAAGGTGAAATTTAGGTGCTAATACTTAAGGAAATATTGCTCATTAACCTCACTGGGTCAATTAAATATTAGCCTATTTGACCTTATTTTCTATTCGTTTTCTCTAGAGACCCTGTTACAAGAAGTGGGACATGCCCAAGTGTCTTTTAAACACTAAATACACATATAATGAAAATAAAACTGTGTTTTTGTCGAAACCTTTATTATTTCTAAAGTATGCTAAACGAAGCTGTCATTCAGGAGGGTTTGATGTTTGGGACTATTATAGGCAGCGTGATTGCATGGTTGGACTTGGTAAATGTCGATTTGTGGGTTTTTACTTCCCGTTGGATACAGTTGAGAACTTTTGATCTGGGACAGTAGATTTGTTTTGGATAGTAAATTATATTTTTTGGGCCGCCGCCGTGTACTGTATTCCTGAAATGTGCTACTTTTCTTCCAATTGTGTGGGAAGAGTTGTTTATTTTACTTTTATACTCCTCCGCCTTCAGGAACTTCTGAGCCTTACTTCCTATATTCACCTAATAATATGTAATTATAAATTACATACTGGAAAAAATGGAGCACATGGCACTATGTACACTTCTCATTTTTTTACAATGCATCTCAACTGTTTCCCATTGTATTTACACAATACAATCCAGATTTGAAATCTTTTCACTTTTACAACCCATTTTAGTTTATATTTAGTAATCCATCTTGCTTTTTGACCAAGTTTGTAAAGATTTACTTTTCTATCTCTTTTAGTAGTTTGAAATAAGAATTCAGATGTCCTTGTACCCAGTATACATTACATATTAACCTTGAAAGCAGGCCTGCATGTAGGCTATCTTGAGCACAATCTGTTATGTCAGTACTTTGGTTAGGTTTGTTTTTGTTTCATATTCTGAGTGGTCACTTTTTTCCATCTTTGTCTCTAGGATGTTTGGGTGTAACTTCACTGCCAGTAGAGGCTGTGCCCTTATCACCTTCAGCATGGGAGTTGTGAAGTCAAGGCACAGTTATCTCGTTTTTTAAGCAGTATTGTAGAACTGCGCATATTTGATAAACTCCCTATAGTATCTGTTCATTTATTTTTTGCATTTTAATACCTTGATTAAAAGTACCTTGATTTTTTTGCTGGAAAGCTACAATGTGCATATACAGTAGGGCTGGGCGATAATTCGATAACGATAATCATCGCGATATAATTTTCCTTGATAAAACGATATGAAGAGTTCGATAAATGTTCGATATAATTTTTATGCGCCAAAAGCGGAAGAAACAGCGCGACTCATTTGAATCACGCCACACGGACCGTTTATCCGCTTGGATCAAAGTTCAAACTGCTGCGCGGCGCAAGCACACTAGAGCAGATGCGTTTACTCCGTCACACGAGCAGTAAGCAGCGCGCTAGATCCAGTGTGAAGTGCTTGAATTCAGCGATGAACACAAATGGCACGGTGA